AAAGGTCTCTTTTACGTTTAAAAAGGTCTCTTTTACATAAAAAAAAAAATTCCAAAGGGGATTAGAAATGGGGTTCGGCCGGCTCTAGGGTCCATATTAAGGCTGCACCACAGCTGTGAACGAAGATGGATCCCTCACCTCCCAGCCACTTGCTCGCAAGCTGTTCGCAGAAGCTTCCGTTTCTGCAATTAGTTTACGAGGAATGGCCATCCCAGAGACCAAATGGGTTAATTTCTTGCTTCGTCCTTGGTCCAGAGCAAGTTGGGCAGCCAGTGCTTGCTGCCAACCACCGATCCGGCTGCGGTGCCATTTCCCCTCTCATGGAGAGATGACTAAACTACCATTGTCCCCACTGGAACAACACCACAGAGTTTCAAAAACAAAATGCAAGTTGAGCTAATCAACTCAACTAATTAATCTGTACATGCAAGGATGATTGCTTTTTTTAAGGGAGGGGCCACACTGAAGGGAATTTTAATAACTACTAAACATACATTATTTCTTCTTTAACCAGAGAACCTACTTTCCAGGTAAAGATGCCCTTGAGGTAGCTTGACGCCAATGGATTGCATATATAGCCTACAGCCCTGACATTTCCCAGTGATCTACCATCCAATTACTAACCAGGGTTGACCCTACTTACCTTTTTTCAAGATACACCAAGGTTAAATCCTGCCACCTGCAGTGAATATCCCACCCTTAACTGCAATAAAACAGTGAACGCAAGCAAGGCAGAAGCCAAGCTGAGGAATGCAATGTGGTTTCTTCCTTTCAGAAATCCTTCTAGAGATCAGTGCAGTTGTAGGATAATTAGCAGTGGAAGGAGCAATCCAGTGGCTGACACACCACTAAGTAATCACAGAGGAACAGAACACCAAGCAGTCCCACAGGCATAAGATCATAGGGGACCAAGCCATGCACTAGCGGCTTCTGCTTTCTCCTACCACCATGTAGGCCTTTTCTGCATTCAGCTTGAGTAAGTGTAGCTGATTCGGGATACTGTTCTACACTTTCAGATTTAAATAAAAAGATGTAAGAAAATGTGCAGAAGTAAGGGATAAAATGTTCTTGGTGGTGTTCCTTGTGGTAAACCTGGCAAAAATGATTTTACATTGAAATTATTTTTTTCTAAATACAAATTTTATTGAATAATAGCAAGTTTTCTCATCCTACTCAGTACCCTTTAACAAAACAAATTCCCTTGGAACGAATACTGCCATTTAAAAGATTTTGGGCTTTCACCCTGCTTTATTAGGTGGGCACACATTCAGCACGGGATTCAGAAAAATACACACAGGAAGCAGGTGAACCCCATGGCTTTAAAGGAAGCAATATAAAAGACATCTGGAGCCCCTGCAAACATATGGGCTGAATCCCAGGCTACCTTTTTGAAAACCCTCCCCTCCTGCTGCAGCTCCCAGCACAACCTCTGATGCTCTTCCCAAGGATACAAAACCACTTCACCAAGTGTTTGTTTCCCCCAGAGCTGCAGGGGAAGAATCACATCTGGGAAAACAGCCTCTCTTCTCTGCTTGATTCAACCCAGTGCTTAGAAGCTGTCATCATTTGTCCCTCCCACAACCAAGACTCAAAGGGAACTTCAAGTTTCAATAGAAAAACCCTCTGTCTTCTTTGCATCTTCTCTTCAGTGTTTCAGGTTCATACTTTCATTAGCTGCGCCACACTTTTTTTTCTAGCAGGAGAAACATTTACTTACAAGTAAGTTCCACTAACAAATAAAGGGCAAACCTAAGCCATCCACCCTAGACATAGCTTTACGTGTGTGTGTGTGTATAAATATGCACAGACATTTGTATATATATTAACATTTATACACCCACAAGTCTGACCTTGGCCCAACAATTTAATTTAAACAACAGAGTTTAGAATAGTAATGTTATTTCACTACCCAATGGCTGCACTTCAATTTTTGAAACTTCTTGTAATGCAGCTCCTCCATCCTGCATTCTCAGACTTCCCAGGATTTTAATTTTAATTTTTTTCTGACTAGCGTCCCAGGTGCTTGGTGTGCCTCCCTTGAGCTATCAATCTTCCTGTTGCCTTACTTGTTAAATTCACGTTGGCAAAACCCAGAGTTTTTCCTTGCTTCAGGACCTCAGCAGTGATCAGGATCTCTTCTCCAATCTTAGCTGATGACATGTATCTTGAGTACAGAAGGGGAAAAATATTTCTTACATTTACAGTGAAAGGCAATGTATACTGTTGTCTTCCTTTAGTTCACCCTTACAACTGTCCTCTAAGGGTTCTGAGGCAGAGCCATAGAGGAAACAGACTGAATCTAACTCAGCCACTGAGTTTCCTGCCTAAGCAACTTTTTGACTGTTTAATAAGAGTCAAAATGGAGTAATGAATAAATCGTTGGGTATCTTTTGTTCCTGCTTAGCCAAGATATTCACAGAATGACCTCAACCCATCAGTTTTAGTCAAGCCCATCCAACACAGTTTTGGGGAGGGCAGAATGATCTACGCCATCCCAAATTTCTTACAATAATTCCATTTTGCATACGTAAAAATCTTCCTGCATGCCACATACAGTAAAACAGAATGCAGTGAAAAGGATGTTGCTGAGACAGAGTGATGGGTTTGGGGAATATTCCAGGCCCAATTAATCCACAGTCTGTAACAGGCAGCTTGGAGAAGCCTTCAGGCTTAAAGTAGAGTATGTATTTCATCTAGACAGTCCTAGTTCAATCTCCAGTAGGATTAGGAAGAAGTTCTACCTGAAGCTGGAGAGCCATTATATGTAAATATGGTAACACTGAGCTAGAGAGAGCAACAATTTCTGCATTGGTACAAGGCAGATGTGTCTGTTAGCACATGGCTTCAGTTCCTTGCAGAGAAACTAAGAATAGCAATGACGTACTACAAAGATAAAGCTAAAATAATGGTTCTGGTACTTCAAAACACAGCATGACCAATGAATCTTTCAGTGGCTTTTAGAACCTATGAAGACTCTAGATACAGAAGTATAGTTTGCAAAAAGCATTTAAGCAGTTTTTAAAATTTATACTGGCAGTAGTATCACAGCACTGCACTGCCGATCTCTTGGAATTAACAAAGTTGGATTTGCCATACTCATTGCAGAATGAAGGCTCAGTTAAAAGGAAACGAGCATGAAAAAAAACATCTAAGTTTGATACCTACGTAATGTTCATGTCCACACTGACACCGGGTGCTCCTCTTTCAGTATGCAGTAAAGCAGCTGTTGACACAATGTCTACTAGAGTTGCTGTCAAGCCTCCATGCAGTGTTCCTCCTCTGTTTGTGTGCTGTTCTTCAACTTTCATTTCACAGACAACTTTTCCAGGGCTGGCAGAAATGACCTTTAGCTGTAAGGTGGGTTGAGAAGAGAAATAGAAATCTAGTTCCATAATGCCTCAGTGAGATTTTATCTGCACTATATACATACATGCTGGCTTTCTATCTAACAAAATAATAAAGATTCCATTCCACTCTACTTCCTCTTTCAGTCTTTCAGCATTCACACATCCTGAACAACCTTGGGTTACTTTACCTGCAAATTTACTTAAATGCTGGGCAGGGGATAAGTTTGGTCTTCTTGGAAGTCCCCTCCAAGCTAACTCTCTCTTTTGCATGGATGATAGTAGCTTCTTTGGCCACACAATTCCCCAGCTGCAGTAAACTAGTTAAAAGTTGCATTTCTATGACAAATGTCTATATTTTGACTGCCTTATAGGGGGAGGCAGAGAGAAAGAGAGAATCTGTGCAGGCACCAAAACCCAAAAAACTAATGCCCCCCCCCCCCACCAGTGGTTCCTAAAGTAAAGGTATCAGGGCAGAAACAGGAGAAATGGAAAAAAATCAATGTAATTTTTATAAGACAAACTTTTGCCTCTCCATCTTAGAAATATGTTTTAAGAGAGTGAAATAAGACCTCTTTACATATCACAGAAAAGGCAAAACAGAAAGAAAAGGGAAACAATCAGAACTTACTAGTAATAGTTGATAATAATAGCCTATTTGCACATTATAAGCCCAGACTTAATCAAATTGATCTGAATGCTGATTTCCTTCCTCAATGGCTACTGGTAATTTGCTCAGACGTGGCAGAAAAGTATATGGTTCAAGCAGGATCTGTTCTATGCAATGTGCTGGAGAAAATTTGAAAGGTCCAGAGACATTTTCCCCCCAAATAAATAAATAGTATTGCAAACACAGCTAAAAAGCAATCAGGTCTTGGAATTTTCCACCACACCAAAGGTAACAAGGCAGTAACAAGAAAAGTGAAAAAATTAACCACAGGAATGAAAGCCTATCTACAAAAGATTAACCATGAGCACCAGGAACTTAAGGTTTTTGAATAACAGCTAAAATAACAACTTTAGAGCCTAAATCTTAGGCTCCTTTGTTTAATCCAAAGGGTCTATTGTGTAGGAGATGTAAGACCTCATCCTATACCCCTCATTATAAATTCCATACGAATTAACATATGAATTAACCCACTCAATAAAAGTTAACCTTATCACCCAATGACTTTATTGACCCTAAGTCCTACTGCACAACTAATGAGTATCTGTAACTGTAATGCAACCAATCAAATAAAAGGATGACTTCCATGTCTATAAAAAGGATTTGTAAATCCACCCCTCTTGTTTTCTCTTCTGCCTCCTGTACTGATCCTTTTCGTAAACCAGTTTGTGCTCATAGGCATATGTCTACGCTTCTATATGCTGACAATGTAATTCTCCTGACTCAGACCCTGACTGATAAACTTTCCCTAAAATCAATTGCTGCGCGCTATAAGGACAAAGAATCATCAAGTAACTATGCAAAGACAAAAGTATTGGTATTTGTTAAATGTCCTAGAATTCACAAGTGGAACTAAATGGCAATGAAACTGAATAAGTTATGATCTTTCTCATGGTTAGTTCGGTCTTGGACCATAAAGCAATGAAGAGAATATCATGGAATTGCCCTTCAATCCACCCTAGAGCTATTTTCTATCAAAGCATACTTCCAACCTTTGTACAGAGTGCAACTCGGGTTTCAAAATTAGAAACTCTACTGTCAAAATTTTTAAGAATCATCTCCCAAGTCCCACGCAGTTCTTCGTGTCTCCTGTTATGAGGCTAGAGTAATTAAGACTGAATCCAAGATTTGGCTAATTTTCTTTGCTTACTGGTTAAATTTGACATTTTTTATCCATTGGTTTGATCTCTCTGACATTAGTAGATGATTCTAAGGCTAGATGGAAGAAATACTTATCAGAAAAGCTGTATTTTTATGGATTTTATGTATTTTATGGATTTATGTAGCAAATTTTAATTGATTAATTAACATTTATCTATTTTCATTAATGTTTACTCTGTTTTGACTGTAAACTGCCCAGAGTCCTCTGCAGTGAGATGGGCGGTGACAAGTTTGAAATACAAATAAATAAATATAAATTCTCTCAGGAAACCTTTCTGTCTCTATAGTATGAGCAAACAGAAAATGTTACTGATACAATAAGTTCTGGTCATATCCTTGGATTCAAAAATAAGATAGACTGCCCAGTACTTAAAACAAGGACAAAGCCATATCACAGCATTCCAACCTTCCAAGACAGTCCATTGCAGATTTCAGAGTAGCCATCTTGGAAAAGGAAACTTTAATAGCCCAACTGAGTGCAGGATTGCTGAACTCCTATATATCAAAAGGTTTCACGCTATCGCAGAAGGTCTCCGCACATACAATGGTTTTTGAACACATTACAATTGTTGATTGATAAGGTACAGTACTTGTAATCTGTGTCACGTCATCTGCAGAACCATTCTGTCTTCCCCTTGTCCTCCCCTCCATCCGAATTTAAATCTTGTATAGTCTAGCCACAGGCTAGCGTCGTATTTGATGAAATGAGTGAGAGTTTACAAAAGCTGAATCCCTTTTAATAAAGTGTTAGTCTGAAAAGGGCCTACCAGACTCCTCATTTTTAGCTAGCATAGATTAATGAGGCTCTACTCCAGCAACCCTGAGAGTATAAAGCAGGCCCTGATTTTCAGGACTTAGTTGCCGCAACCTTTCGGCAAGGTTGCGATCACCCTGGGAAAATCAGTAATATGAAACTAACACCTCATTACCTTATTGACCACCCGATCAAAGCCAGGCGACTCGAAAACGGCTTTGAACACCTCGCGAAGAGACTGAATGGTGAGATGAGTCATAGTGCCGAATGGGGAATTCTTCCTGAGCAAGATGCTAGCCAAGCCGCTGATCCTCCAAACCGCGGCGATGACACGAAGCCAAGCAGCACTACCTGAGAAAGCCTCCCTTGTACGTCCGGCTCCCAAAAAGAACAGGTTGTTAGCACATCCAGAATTGCAACACCTCCCCACGCCTTTGATTCGCGGCCCTCAGTGCCAAACCGGGGGACGTCCCACTGGTCGAGCGTTCAGCTCGAATCCACCTGCCCGCCTATCTCCACCTCCGCGTTCTGTCGGCCCCATGCTTGGAAAACACCGGAAACTTCAATCCCCATATGCCCTGTGGCACATGCGCAGCGTTTTCGCGTCGAAGAGGCGTGGCCGGGAAACGCTGGAGATCCTCGCGGCGTGGAAGCGCTGAGGGTTCTTTTGTAAACAAACGTTCCGGGAGATGGAGGGCGACCGCGCGGCTCAGGAGGTGGAGCGGACGCCCTCCGAGGCGAAAGAGCAGCAGCGCGGACAATCAGCGGAGGAAGGAGGGCAGTGGGAAGAACTGGAGAAGTACCGGAAGCGCCTGTGCTCGGAATTTGCCTCCATTAGTAGTAGTGATACAGCTGTGGCTGAGCGCTACCTGGCCGAGAATGGCTGGGATATGCAGGTACGTGCCGTTCTGAGGCTTTCTCCCTGCCTCTGTCTGCAAGCTCACGGAGCTCCATCACGATTCCGGGTTTTGACCTTTGTTTTGTAGAAGGCGCTGAATTCGTTCTTTGACCCGCCTCGCGAGCAAGACGCCCTCAGGACGCCTCAGCAGGTTCCAACCACGGGGGCTCTGTAAGTTATTTGTGCGAAGGCTCTTTGCCTCTGAAGAAAAGGAGGGAAAACCTTTCGTTCCCATCCGTTATCTGGCCATGCTAGTCCCTTCTCCCTCTTTCCTCGTTTTGGGCCTGCAAATTCGTCAGGGGACATTTTTATGGTCATTGTTTATAGTTATGAGGTTGAAAGCTTGCAGAAACGAAACTTGATGTTTTATTGTAAGGCTGTGGACCAGAACATAGTTCCCCATGCAAAATGACATATCTACAGCCCTATTTGCTAACTTAGAAGACTGGACCCTACCTGATCATTTTCTCCATGCTTGGACTCAACTTTATGTCTGTGCATAAGTTCAAGGCTGAATGCAGTTGATTTTAAAAAATCTCTTGCATGCTACTGCTTGGAGTTAGCTACTTCAATGTAATGCACAGCAGGGACCAAAAGTTCTAGGTCAGGGTTGGCTCCAAGTCTAAGGGGGTTCTCAACTTTCCCTATTTGTAGTGAACCCTATGTAGATCTTAAATAGGAATACTGTAATCAAACTTGCACTTGAGATGTTTTGAATTTTGTTGCCGGTTAGCTGGATGTCATAGCCATTGGCAAGTGATTGTGGGAGCGGTAGTCTAAAATATTTGGAGGGGGGGACTCTACTTTGCTTGTACATGTTTTATGTAGAAGTGGTTGTGGTGCAGTTGGTACCCTTGAATAATTGTTTAAAGCCATTGTAGGTAATTAAAATGGTAGCTCTGATTGAGTGCTACCATTAACATGTCTCAACATGTTTAAAGTTTATAGCTGGATGCACGTAATGTGCTGAGCCATATTTTTAACATATTTTGTTGAACAAATAACTTATCTGGTTCAGATACTGTGAAGCCATAAATCGTGGCTAACAAACCATACTGAATGGTTTCACACATGCCAAACTAAAACCATAAGGCACCATAGGGAAATTGATGGGCACACAGCTCCAAGGCTGATCTCTGGAGTGAAAAATTGTAAATGCTGGATAAAACAGCAGCTGTAACTTTTTGTGGCAACCAGAGCATGCTATGTAATAAACTGGACCTACTGCAAAGGGGAGTCCTCTAGAATTATTTTTTAAATTCTATGGATAAGTAAGTGTTCTGGAGAAAGTTGTTTTAGCTAATATGTTTAACTTGTGTATGTGTATTCTAGTGTTGAGCTAACTGATGATTCGGCTACCAATACTGTAGCTGCTGTGGTGGAAAGTGCAGGTGTTTGCCCACAAGATGACAGCACTTTTTCTTTAATTACTTGGAATATTGATGGCCTGGATTCGAATAATCTGCAAGAAAGGGCACGGGGAGTCTGTTCCTATATAGCTTTGTAAGTACCTATCACAGTAATCCTATGGGTCTTTAGTAGGAAATAAGCCCCAATTATTTAATAAGTTTAATTATAGATCAAGCATGCTATGGACTACTTTACACATTTATCATTGAGATTATATTTGTATTGGCTGCTTTTTAATAAGAGTTGAATATTTGTGTAATATGGTACAATGCTAAAATATTTATGAATTTAAATCTACAGATAAGTAACAAAGGGTTTTGTGGTATCTTAAAGCTTTTCTGCAAAAATATGTTGCTCTGCCTGGTCCCAAAACTCTCTATTTCTGTTACATCAGTAAAACACAACTACCCATCTAGAATATGGTAAAAATAATTATTTTTAATTTGCATGAATTGGAGTTAAGTTACTGTTCCTCTAAAACAAACTGTTAATCTTAAATTTGTGTTTGTCTGTTTTATTCAGTCATTATCCTTGATTTAACATTCTCTTCCTTATATTTATGATCTTCATAATTCTAGAATGCCCATTAAAGGACATTTTCAGAGAAGACTACAAGCAAATTAAAAGGACATAAATCACAATTAAATATAATAGTAGCACTATAAATGCTATAAACAAGGCAGCTCAAAATAAACAAATGAAAAGACAAATAGCAAAAATTACACAATATGAGATTAAGATGCCTTGGAGGATAAACATGTCTGTACTTAATGTCCAAAATAGCTTAACAGATATATGAGATAAACTTTTCTGCAGAAGACAGCTCACAGACTGGTCCCCTTATTTCATACAGTCATTCTCTGTACTTGGATGAAGGTATTGCGTGATGATCTAGGGATCCAAGTTGATAAATATTGGAAGATATGTACCTTCAGTTACCTGGCACCAAGTCATCTATATCTCTATCAAATTTGTCACCACCCATCTTGTTGAAACGACTCTGGGTGGTTTATGACAAAGATAAAATTCATTAAAATACAATATAACATAATCCCTAATAATAAATAACTTCCAAGAAAAATGGAGAGATGACAAATACAGTGGGGCAAAAAAGTATTTAGTCAGCCACCAATTGTGCAAGTTCTCCCACTTAAAAAGATGAGAGAGGCCTGTAATTTTCATCA